CCCCCCCCCCCCCCCCCCCCCCCCCCAAACCAACGGTGGGGGGGGGGGGGAGGGGAGAGAATCACATGCCACCATTTTGTGTATTAAGCACTGGTAGTGTGAGGTCTTCTGGGCGAGACACGAAATGAAGGACCTTCCCCTAGAATGGGTTCCTGAAGCTCAAGGCTCTTTGTGACTACTTAACAATGCAGCCAGCCCTTCCACATCACCTATCATCTGAGGTCGGGCTGCAAGAGTCTTTGTACCATAATTAATCCCCAGGAAACTCTACACAAGATAGATAATGAAATACCTTCAACTGGGACAAGCAGCAATTTATAATACAGGCTTTCAGGCCAGAAAGATCCCTTTCTTTAGGTACTTCGGTATAAGCTGCAAACTGAAGAATTTCAGGAACCAACTGCTGCAGGGTTCAACACATTCACCTGTCTGTGCTTCAGACAATAACCTGCCAAAGCAGACAGAAGACTACTTGGACTATCTAGAAGACATGTAACTCAGAGCCACCTTCAGCACTGCCAAAAACAATTCTTCTGACTAAACTGATTGAGCCAGTAGCAGTGATTCAGCATTAAAGAAAATAGGCCTTCCCAAGGGCCATTTTTTTGGGGGGAAAGAAAATCTGCAACAGTTCACAAGTGAATTTAATTTGCCATACTATATTTTAACAGTCATCTCTTCAGACAATTAAAATATTGTATTGCAAATTAAAATTGCTTATGCCTTGTTGCAAGGCTTATTACTACAAATGTGGTCCCCAGGAAGCACTATTAACTTTAATGGCAATTCTCCGTTCCTGGCACATGATGAGTCATCCTCAAAGTAATTCAAAGGTCATCTCATTGAAGGTGGAAAGAGAAAAGAGGATCAAACAAATAATGACAGGGTATGACAAAGATGTGCAAGAAGGAGATACACAAGGAGAATGCAAAAATAAGGCTAAAGGGAAATTAAAAATAAAGAATGCTGTGCCATTTGCTTAGAGGCAAGTATTCTGCACTGATATACAGGCCTGGGTTCAATTCTCAGCCTCTGTCTCATTCTCCCAGGCTCTCGGGGGTTGGAGTGCTGTTGACACAATGCTCTCAGGCCCTGGAGGAAGGGGCAGTACTTCAAATTGATCAAAAGAAGGATTATGGCAGGTTCTAAAGGAAATTCCTTCAATCCTCCTCAAACTGGAAGGATGGGACTTTACAATGGAATTGGGGGAAATCATTTAAAACATTTTAGGAAAAACAATCAGCTCTGTTAGTAGATCTTATTTCTTGCCTTTGGGCTCTGCTGCGCTGTGGGCTTCAGGTAAAAATGTCTGCACTCTGTTTACATTACATATTATACCAGTGGAGATGCTCCAATACAGAATTTCTGTAAGTTCAAATTTTGCTATGGTAGAAGCAGCCAATGAAAAATGGATCCCCAATAGCCCTGCCTCAGTCACTGCACACCATTCAATACATGTACTGAATGATTCGTGGATCATGGGAAAATAGTAGTATGTGATAGGATAAATGCACTGTATCATAATACATATGAACAGGGGGCCAGAGTTAAGGTTGAGATTTATTAAAACAATAGCACTAGAATGTTCTGTCCCAATTTTTCATTAAGACACCAAAAGACACTTCTGCCAAATTTCACCTTTATTCCCTCAGCCAATATAG